CAACATTGTCTCTCCATCTCCAGATAGAGAATGAAGTAGGAGTCATACTTCACCCCATGTTCAAAACAAGTCAAAATGGGTTTTAATGCCTAAATGCAAATCTCAATGCTCTAAAGATTATCAATGAGAGAATACAGACAAATATAAGGGTCCTAGTGCAGGGCATAGACATATGATCAAATATAAGGAAGGAAACACACAGAGAAGATGAAATAGATTATTATGTGTTTGTCTGCATTGACTAGAGAAACAAACCCAGATACACTCATATGTGTGGATGAGAGAGTTTTATATCCAAGAGTAATTGTATATTAAGGAAACATCTCAGCCTAGTCCAGATCAAGTCCATAGTACAATATTAGACCGTGTGTCCCATACTAGTCCATACATTCTTCTACAAACTCAGGCAGCATATGCAATGATTCCCAAAGCACGAAGGCCACAGACAATTTCATCTTGGCATTTGTCCTTATAGCAGTGGTTTCACACAATATTTGTCTTTTTGTGATTGACTAACTTTGCTCATCATAATGCTCTCTAGGGCCAACCATATCTTGAGGTCCAACCAGTGGGTGAAAAGTCTTGTGGAAGCATCTCAGCACTGGTGCAGTCCTCCATGTGGCTCCTCCAGGTCCAGGGCTCTGGCTGTCATCAGCATATCGCTGTGTGGCTTGTCAGTAGAAAGGTGAAGCAGAGAGAGTGTGTGTCCCGCCTCCAGGGAGGAAAACCAGAGTTCCCAGAATCCTCAAGAGAAGGCCATGTCCACACACAGGCATCATTGGCTATGACCTGATAGACAGGCTGCTCCACCCCTTTGCTCAAGTTGACAGGAGCTGATGTAGGTTCCTACCTTAGGCACCTACTCATTAAGATATTTGTGGATCAAACAACTTCATCAAAAGAGTAAAACGATGTACAATTGCGCTTTACACAATTGATGTGTGTATGGATTGGGATAACAGTTGTATTAGCCCCTAATAAAATGTTATAAAAAACAAAACAAAAAAACCCCAACTCTAATTCATTCTCTTCAAAAAAAAAAAAAGAGTAAAACGAGAGCCCAAATACGGAAAAATCTTCATCAATGATACAATGGATATGGAATTAATCTCTAAAATCTATAGAACACTGAAATAACAAGAAAAAAAAAGATCCAGTGCAAACATAGGCTAAGGAGTGAACATACAGTTCATCAAAAAATATATTCAGATGGCTAACAAACACATGAATAGATGCTCACAATCACTAGCCATCCAAGAGATGCAAATCAAAACAATGATGAGATATTGCCTTACACTAACAATCAGTCCAATTCAAAAAACATGCAAATGGACAGAAAGCAATCATACTGGAGAGGGTATTGAGACATTAGAACTCTGGTGGGCAGGTAAACATGTATAACCATCATGGTAAGCACTCTGACACCATCTAAAACAAATGGGGATGGAAATCCCATATGACCCACCAATACTTCTGCTGAGTATATATCCTAAAGAAGTGAGTGATATCACACACAGGTACTCCTATTTCATTGCATTTCAGTTCATAATAGAATGAAGTTGGTAACAGCTCAAATGTTTATCAGTAGAAGATTGGCAAAGAAACTTTGATACATACACACGGTGGAATACTATGCTTCACTAAAAAGCAATGATGTAACCATGAGTACCTCAAGATGTAGTTGGCCCTAGAGAGCATTATGCTGAGTAAAGTTAGCCAATCACAAAAAGACAAATATTGTGTGAAACCACTGCTATAAGGACAAATAGCAAGATGAAGTTGTGGCTCTCAGGCCATGTAGTCATTCAATCTGGCCTCCCAGGCAATGGGGTGTTATGACTGTCTAATATTTATAACTCATTTATCACTACTTTATTTGGGGAGCCTGACATCATTTGGGGACAGTTTCTCATGGGGGTGGGGTGGGGTGGAGAGTGGGAGAAGACTAAATGATCATGCTATGTGGCAATGCCCTATGATCACCTTTATTGGATGAACTCTCCTACACTGGTGTTCAGTACACTGATGGAGATTCACGAACAAGCGGATAGGCATCTCTGAGATGCTTTCATTTCTGTTGGTTGGGGGTAGAGGGAGGGCAGCTTGTCCTTGGTGAAAATGCTTAACATTTCTTTCATAGACCTCCAAGGGGGAAAATCTGCCTTATATTATATGGCTAATGTTGCATTTTTAAATCCGTTTCTTATTGGCCCTTGGTGACCCAGGCCCAGTACTATAAGCTACCTGGATTTAAACTTTTATTTTTTCTCGAGGTGTACACATACTACAAAGAGCATGTGAAGGACTGCTACCCATGGCCTTGCATTTGGAAGTCACTGGACTTCAATTTAACCTCTTGCTTTTGAGATTTCTCAATAACAGGCATCGTAAGACTACCGTATATTTGCCACTTTATTGTTTTCCTAACTTTTGTAAGACATGCATTTGATCTGTAGACACAGTTTTGCATGGTGAATGAATATCATTGGATTTTGTGCCCTGTGTCTAACCCTTATTGTACCTTAAACTCTTTTTTAAAAAGATTCGGTCATTAAAATTTTTTTAATATGGATAAAATTTTAAAAAATATGTCTTTTGGTCCAAAAAGCTTTTATAGATATGAGTAATACCTTTATATCAATAGTATGTAAAATTCTATACCACTGACTAGTTTAATTATACTATTATTAGAATTACCTCAGGCCTGATGGAGGTTACGTGTATTGTTTCTCCAAAAGCTGATAATGCTACTGCTATAGTGGAACAGACAAATATATGTATATGGATTTTGAGTTCACATTTAATTTTAAGCCCTAAGTTAAGAACAATCAACAGAGAGTATCTGGCTATCAGAAAGAATAGTGTTTGGGGTCTTAAAAGTTTGTCTTAAAACAAGCAACAATTGAACTGAGGTGTCAGCTAAGTCCACAAGGAAGAAGCACATCAGCCTGTGTGATCCAAAGATTATAAATTATTATCTAAAACAAGATGAGGCTATTGTATTAGAGCTTAAATTCTGAGGACTTGTTTTGCAGAAGGCTATGGAAGACAATGGAAGTCCAAAATCTATTTTCAGAGTGCTCTTGTGGATTAAATCTTCATTGAACTCCCTCAGAACAGGGATGTAACCAGCTTTGCCACCAGAGTGCATCAGAAAGTGAATTAATGTTGATATTGTTAGGCTACATTTTAACATTTTACATATATATTTTCCCTTTAACTCATTGAAAAAAATACTTTCATTGGGGGCTCTTAGATCTCATCACAATCCATACATTTCCCCAACGTGTCAAGCATATTTGCACATATGCCGCCGCCATCATTTTCAAAGCATTCTCTTCCCACTTGAGTACCTGATATCAGTTCCCCCTTTCTTCCCCTCCCCTCCCCTCCCACCCTCACAAAACCTCGATAAATTACAGATTATTTTCCATATCTTACATCATTCTCCGTCGCCCCTCACCCACTTTTCCATTACTCGTTCCCCTGGGAGGAGGTTCTAGTTGTTCCTTGTGATCGATTTCCCCTTTCTCCCCCGACCTTCCCCTAAGCATCCTGGTATCTCTACTTTTTAAATTTGTTCTAGTTTTTATTATTTTCTATTTTTTTGGATTGAGGTGTTTTGATGTTTTATTTTTTTCTTATTGGAGGGACTTGTATAATTTCCTTATATAAAATCCAGGTCAGTTAAATCTAGAAAGACAGCAACTAGATTAATAGTTTCATAGGGGTATGGCAGGGGGCATTGAAGGGATATGGGAAGCTAATAAGAATGAGTACAAAAATGAAGACAATATTCTAAAACTGATAGTGACAGTGATTTCATAGCTCTTTAATATATTCAAACCAATGAATTGTAAGGTACATAAATTATACATCAATTAAAGTGTTAAAGAGAAAAGAAAAAATGTAGCAATGAAGGGAAGTGCCCATTTTAATACATTGTGATATTGTTAGTAAAACTTGGGAATGTAATGCTAAATTTTAAATAAATAATATGCACATTGGCATTGCAAGTATGTTTGGAATGCTCCTGTACAAAATGAATTACTGTGTATTTAAGAGTACAGGAATGTAAATGTTTATTTCAGCATTCTTTATATAGGCAAAACAAAACAAAAAGAAAACAAACAATAATAAAAACCCAGGGAAACTCAAAATACTAGAAAACTGACTAAAAGAGTATTATATGTTATGGAATAGTATGTAGCTATTAAAAGACTAGAATCTATGGATTTATGGTTCAAATCTTCTAAAGTTACCTCAAAAGAAGGGCCCTGTCGTCTACCTTGGAAAGGTCAGGGTCATTGAAATCTCTGTGAAGTGCACTTAGGACCACCATGGACCGGAATCAAATCCTTGGCAGCTGGGTTAGTTTTGGTTTGGTTAAGAGAATATGCTCAAAGACGTGTTAGGTAAAATAGAGAAATATTATGGTCTCTTATTCAGTGGAGCAACCAAGGTGTAAATTATGATGTGCATTTTGACTCTAAATTGTTTGTATTTTGAACTATATTGGCTAGACGGTCAGCAGGAGACAGACCAGTACAAGACCAGTACCAGAAGAGAGTAAACCGGTATTGTTTATTATGTCAGTCATTCAAAGCTAGGGGTGGTGGGGGGAAAAGGGCACCTTTTAAAACTATACTTTTGTATCGTTTCAAGTATTCTAATACTCTTTTGTAGTTTAGAAGGCCATGGGAAAAAAGTGGAGCACATGGGAAATTGAGTATATTGAGCAAATGCTGAGACCATGCTACTTCCAAAAATAACTGATGGAACTAGTGATATTGGTCTGGATAAACCAACAATCTAGAAGAAATCCAAGACATTGGTTATGAATCACGTTAGTTAGGTTTCTAAGGAACCAGACGGATTGTTTTTCATATCTGCAGCTAGTCAGGGAAATCTTGGTCTGTTTTTATCACCCTAACACTGTTGCAGGCAAGGGCGTGTTGGCTAGTACAAGCCCCAGGCACAATCTTTTGGCTGACCAATACCTTGAGCAACATCATCCTGTTTCTGAGGGCAGGGCCGTTCCACTTTGTGCCTGTGTGGTGGCAGGTTTCGCTCGGGCTTCTTGGAGCACCTTCCCTCATTGAACACATGTGGCAGGTTGGTTGTGTGCACCTGTCGGAGTTGCTCATAGTCACTCAGAGCAGCAGTCAGGTCCCAGTTTTTGCCTGCGGATAAGAAGGGACATGAAATCACAATATTAGTGCATTAACAATAAATTCTAAAAAGAAAATAACCATGCAAACAGGATAACCAAAATCATTTCTTCTTGCTAGTTGCTCTTGCTTCTCAGAAGAGAAATCGTTTGACTTTGAATCTCTTGGAGTAGAAATTTACAGTCATGACTGATGCCCATGTGAAATCTGTAATCTCATCGTGTTAGACCATGATGTCGGTCTTTAGTCATGTTTCTACATTTTTACTATATTTTTTATTTGTTTCAAGCATTTTGACACTTTTTTGTAGTCAAGAAGACCATATGAAAAATGGAGCATATGGTACAATGAGTATACTGAGCATATGCTGAGGTTTCTAATATACTATTAGGATTTTAAGGGTCTGGACTCCCTCTCTGTTATTCTGAGTCAAAAGTAGGAGCCATGGCTAGAAGCAGAGAAGGATTTGGATGATGCACTAAGAAGCCAACCTATCTGTAGCAGGGAGAGGATACCATCACCCATGTTTGCACCACCTACCTACCCCCACACATAAATGCACACACATACACACATTGCAGGCAGTGCGCATATGTACACATATACATATATAAGCACATGCCCAAGTATGCATCCCCATAGTTCACTAGAGTCCCAAATATTACATTCCTATTTATCTTATCACTCTGAAAATAAAGTTGTACAGTTAATTCTCAGAAGAAAACATAAGATTTTGTTTTTGTTCAGAATTTATGCTTTTTTTTTAAAAACTTCATATGGAAAAAGAAGAAGCTCCACGGGATTATTTTGTTTGAAGAATGTTCATAGGAAGCATATCCTAAGTTCTGTAATATGTAGAGATGTCAGACAGACGTGGAGTGCCCTGGGGGAGAGTAGGCATAGGGACCAGCACTGGGTGTTGGAAGAGACTTTATAGCTCCACTATGAGGAGCTCCATTGGCAGGGAAGGGGAGGAACTTGAAACCAAGGATCTGCCTCCCTCTGCCTCCATGCTTCAGCAAACCAACCAAATAAAGCTACTGCATACAAACATTCTTGGGGTGAGGACCAGGTAGTATGGAAGGGACCAGATCAAATGCAGGGATGC